GGGCCCGGCCCGGCGCCCATGGCCGCCCGCGCCGCCGTTCAAAGTCTCCGCCGCCCAACGGCCGCCCCCGCCACTTCCGCCGCGCGGCCTCGCGGCCGCCGGCCAATCGCAACCGCTCTCCGCGCGCCCCGAGCGGAAGTGACGGCGCGCGCGAGGCGCAACCGGGACCACAAGTCCCGGCGTGCCCCGCGGCGCGCTCCATGTGCGGGGGAAGATGGCGTCGAGGGGCCGCGGGGCGGCCGGTGACGCCCGTTAGTGACCGTTACTGGCCGTTCCAACGGACCGCAGCAAAAGAGTGTTTCTGCCCCGCCCTCGTCTTTTCAAAGCAGGTCTTCATGGCTCCAGCAAAACAGGCTGCCTCAGTGCTTTCGGGAAACGTGGATTAAATGTTTCATCAATGAAATAATGCCAAAATCCCTTTAAAACACTTTATTCAGACAAAAGTGTGGAGAGTGCAGAGTTAACCGGAAAAAAAAAAAAAAAAAAAAAAAAAAAAAAAGGAACGAAAAATAAAGCTGCAGGGGAATTCAGGTCACCGTTTCAGTCTGCTTGTGTAACCCTATCCTCTCCAGTAAGCACACACATACCTGTAAGTTTACCCTCCCTCACTGTCCCTTGTACAAAAAGGAAAAAAAAAAGTCCCTGTTTTTGAAATTTCCAAGTCCTTCAGTGAAAAAATAAAATAACATTACTGTACAGATGGAGAATCGGGCATTGCAATCTGTAAGAGACAAACAGATGATATGAATATTATTGTTACTCACTGGCACCAGAAGACACAGTAAGGTGCACATTTATACCTAAACACTAAAAGTTWTTACTCTCATCTTGAATTCTGACAGCCATCAGGAATAAGAAACTAATTTTGCAGGAGGAAAGGTTCTRGCATTGATCTACACAATTAGATTGTGTCACAGCTGGTAAATTTTTGTGCTCATTTGTGCTAGGCACGTTTGGCTATATTTTCTTTTTAAAAAATCATATAGTTTCCAGTTAGTAAATATTCTGAGGCTATCACTCCAATTTGGGGATTTATGCTTGTGGATGCTGTGCTCGCAGAGGCCTGGCCTTTGCGTGTCAATGAGCCCTTCCCTGGACCTGCTCTGCCTCCTTATGAACAGGATTCAAATGTCATCCGCCTCTGGCAGCGCTCCCAGAGATCAGGAAGCGCAACCTCAAAGCCTCCCACACGGAATACAATCCCTAYGGATGGCTCAGAGGCCGAGTCAGCCCTGACTGGAGAGCACACGGATCTCCCTGTACACGCAGAGTTGCTGCTTTGAAATACATTGTCAAAAACATCATGGGGGAAAAATTAATTTAACATTAAAAACAAGAAAAAGTAGCAGCATAATTGATTATTGCTTTGAGTTTTATTTGTGCAGTATGTATATTCTAATAAACTCTTTGAAACTTTCAAGATATTTTCCTCTCAATTCCTTCAAATGATCTATAGGACTAAGTACCTTAAATGTCTGGGTTTGAGGTGGGTTATTTTTTGTTTGTTTGTTTTCCTTCTCTTTTCTTTCAGTGAAGATGACTGATGTGTCTTTGTTCCTGAGAGTCYTTCATGTTTTTATTGACGTATTTCAAACTCGCAATTGGAAGAGAAGTTAATAAATGGCATAYATACTTAATGCAAAATTGTTCTATTAAATCTTCTTCTCTCAAGTACAGTAACATACTCAGGAGGGAACTTATAAAGTGTTTGTCTTTAGCAGTCTTGCCTTTAAAATGATTATGTTTTTACATAACTACCGACGGAAGTTCAGATCTGATTCTTACCTTATTTACTGAATCTTTGTTATTACTGCTGTTCCATTGTGAACGGGGATATTAGGTGCAGGAAAATCCAGTTCAGGAGCATCAAAGAAGTATGCCTGAATAATTACAAAAGAGAAAAAAGACAGATTAAAAAGAAACAAACATTTCTGCTTCATCAGCTCCCAGTTCTCCCTTATCACACCCACTGTTCATACGGATAGGGGAAAAAAAACCAACTTTGCTTCAAGTATTTTTAGAAGATTAGAGATGGTAATTAAAATGGTGCTCTAAGCTGTATTTTTTTTTAAATGACAATTAGCAGCTAAGACCTTTGAGAAGACCTGCTCTGCATCTGCTTGCTGTTTAGCTGCTGAAGCTGCAGGCACTCCGCAGTAACAGGAGCTGCCCCGAAGTCAGCAGCGAGTCTCCTGCTGACACTAGAGCTTCATTCTGCCTTCGCCTCCCTACATGTGCAGTTGCAGGGACCCCAAATTATCTGCTCTGGAAGCTGGAAAGGGTCAGAACTGAAGCCTGGATTCTACTCTACTCATTCTACTCAGTGCAAAGATGACAACAAAAAAATATATATATAAATATATATATATATATTAAAAAGTTCTCATTGTTATGTGTTTCAAAAGCATTATGGTTTTCTTCTTTTATAATGATATTTTACTAAGACCTAGCAAGTTTATGTTTTCATACACAAAACTGACAAGCACACACAATATATTGAACATTGATACATTTTTAAAGAATTAACTAAGCACAGCATCTCTTAGAATGAGTTGTTACTGTATACAATAAAGATCAATGCTTTGCTCCTATTACCATAACTTCCAGATAAAATTAAGACTATTCYGCAAGCAACTCCATGCTAGATGTTCGATTTGTTGTCGTGTATGTTACTGGTACTATGAAAATCAGATCTGCATCAATTTTTGCTATGGTTGAAACAATCAGGGAGATGTGCCAGAAGTACCATCTTTTTGTTACTTTATAAAAAAAATATTTTCCAGCAAGCAGCTAGCCAGACTTCCCCAGACTGCAGCACATCCCAAGAAATGACATGTTAGGGAAGAGGAAAGGCAGCTCGTACCAAACAGCCCACAGACAGCAGGGCATGAAGCAGAACAATAGTCGMCACAGTGGCCAGTGCGATCCTCCGGTTGTCGTCTCTGACGGCCGGCCAGAAAGTCATCACCAGAACAGAGCCCGAAAGGCACAGGGAGAACACCACCAGGACCCAGCGCACCACTTTTTGTGGAATGATCCACAGAATCTATGAAAAGAGAGGAAACATCTGTAAACAGACACCTACTGATGCATTCTTCTGTGACACTTTATCACTTCCAGATGACTTGCAAGCAAATTAGCTCAAGCCTTATTTGAGATAATAAATATTATTGTCAGAGATGGAGTAACATCTGTTGGAATAACACCATGGCCAGGCTGGTCCCTGCCAGGGAATCATCTTCAGGGCCTGCCGATCAGCACTGCCACCCCATGCACCAGCATTCGTAGCCCAAGGGATGCATATCCCCATTCCCAAAGCYGCCTTGGGCTGGATTTGCTGCCTCTGAAAAAATGACTTGCCCAGGGCATTTCTAGTACCCACAAGACCATTTTTACACTTGACAACCTTTACTCTAGCCAAAGAAAAGGAGCATAAAGTTTGAGTCCCCAAGATTTTGACTAACATCAACAAGAAAAAGCAGATCTTTTAATCCACATTTTTTTTTTTTTTTTTTGCAGGACACATTTTACAGACATGCTCTTCAGGCCATACATACCGCAGTGGGAATRTAAATGAAGAGGGAGTAGCCATAAACACACACTATCTCCAGGAATGAGTAGGAGACGATGTTCATAACTTTACTGTTCCTCCACATCAGGAATCCCCAGAGAGCAAGGGGAACAAGCCAAGCATAAGCATAAATCGTTGTCGCTGCTATGGACACTGGAAATATGAAAGAGATTTATCATTCTGCTTAAAATACCAGCCAGAATCAGATGTGCTGAAGCACTTCACCTAAAAGGGGACAGCTATCTTTGCAATTGTTTTCAAATATAAAGTACCATTTATTAATAAACTRAGAGCTTTGCAGATGCATCCACTACTTCATCAGCACTTCAAGTTAATTTAAAWATAAAAGAGTCCAACAAGTATTCTCTTGCTATTTCCAATTTGTTTTTTACAACTAGATATAAAACGTTATCAGTTCTACTGTGAGTAGAAAAGCCAACTGAGAAAGAAAAACTTAGCTACAAACAGAAATTCAGCCACTACTAGCTACCAAAAAAAMGGGAAAAGAATGCAGATATAATGGCCAAATCTGAAATTAATAGAGTGATTGGATTCCCAAATGATAGTGTTCTTCCAAGTACACTGTGGATTCTGGAAGCAAACAAAAATTACATCCTTCTGTATTATGTCCTTCTGTTTTCTGTCTTGCTTTTCTGTCTAATTTATTATTCTCATTATCACTTTCTGCTCCACTAAAAGTACTTTTTAACTACCTCATGTTCCTGAGGATGAGGGCTGTGCCAGGCACATCCTCCTTCAAGGACTCATTCTTTATCTCTATGAATTTGAAGAATGCAATCAAAAGGCACTGCTAGATTAAACCAGAGTTTTGTTCTTTACCTGTTTTTACATGACTTCATTAGCAAATTAAAACCCCTCAGAACTGTAGCAGGTACTCACAAACCTTTTCTGAACTCGGGCACATAGTGGTATGTTGGCTTGCCCAGATGGATGAAGAAATTTGAAAGGTTGCCACTAACAGCAATGGCAAAGACCAGTGTAGCACATATCCAAAAGGGACCTTTAAAAGAGGAAAAAAAAAAAGAGAAAGAAAAAAAATATATGCAATAGTTCTTCTATCGTCCTGTTTCTTAAAGTAAAAGAGACTACAAATTCAAAACATTTAGCAGATTTTAACATTTAACAGACGAACAGAGCATCTCATAGCTTGTACCCACCGTAAAGGTCGGGATTGCTGCGGATATACAGCCTTACAAAGTTCTTCCCTGGCACTGGGAAAACCGATCCCTTGATTCTGTCCAGGACCTATGAAAACATACAGGTTTATCTGACTGAAAATGAAAGAAGGAAAAAAAAAAAMMMCATAACTGTCTGTAAGGCATAGTTCAGACAATAGTTCTTTATTGCAGCAGATTACTAACCTGATAGGTGTCCACATCGAAGAATGTCTGGTAGTACTCAAAAGTCCAGAAWGGGGCACTTTTCTTCTGACCAGCAAGCAGCTATCGGGTGGGAAAGGAAAAAAACATCACAAAGATGCAATTTCTGCACTTACAGAGAAAACAGACTTCCCTTAACAGGGAACCACCCTTTTMTTACTGAATATGACTTGTAACACCCATCTTCTTCAGGTCAGAAGCTCCCTTTCCATCCCCGACTTGGCTGCATTAACTGAGCCTTTAGACAACCCCGTTTCAAAGCTTCCCCCTCTCCTACCAGAGCCACCRGAGTCACCCACCCCACAGCAGGACAGGCAGAAGCAAATACAGGCAGGATTTTCAGGCACTGCTACATTCATATCCCGGTATATTTCATAAATCACCCCTGATTTCAGCACTTTGCTAGGCTGCAAACCACAGCAACCGATGGGCCGATCCACCTTCTTTATACTTCTGAATACGACAGGGAAGAGTCGAGCTCAGGTCTCCCAGCACCAGTGCCAGGTGCCGGTGCTTTTACCTCCGTTTTATCGGAGTCATCGGTCCCCAGCAGCTCATCATCCTCCTCCCTCCCCGACGGCTGCCCGCGGCCGTGCTTGTTCTTGGGGATGTCCGCCGGCTCCTCGATGCTGATTGTGGTGGCGTCAGGATTCGCTGCCAGCAGGTTCGCCGCGTCGTCAAATTCTGCAAATGAGTGCATTATAGAAAAATATATATATATGTATGATGAATCTATGAGAAGTTACAACTTTGGTTCAGGCAGCTCGGAAAGCTGCATTACGACAGGGATGGAGATGGATGTGTCGCTAGTTGAGGGGCAGCGAGGGTGATGGGACCCTCCTGAAGCCCAAACCCTGGGTGATGTCTATTTAACCATAAACTCCAGCCCCGCGGTGTGTGTCCGTGACGTGTCCCCCGTCCGCGCAGAAAGGCACCGCTTTAGTCCCGTCCTAAATTGCGTTAGGCCCGAGTACGATCTCGGAAAAAGCCACAAGAATTCCCACGAGCCTCAGGCCGGGGCCAYGGCTCTGCCCGCCGCTCCCGGCCACGCCGCCTCAGCGGGGCTTGTCTCGCACGGAGCCCCCTCCGCGGCTCCGCCCGTCTCACAGCGGCTCCCTGCCCACAGCCCCTTCACCAAGCGCGCCCACCTTGAAACTTGCGCTCGTCCGCGGCCGCCATCCGCCCGCGTGGCTCGGAGCGGCGCCCGCGGCCGCCGCGCTCCTCCGACGCAGGCCGAGCCCGGGGCGGGCCGCAACGGCCGCTCCCGCAACGCAGCACAACGCCCCGCGCAACGGCCSCTTAAAGGGGCCGCGCGCCCCGCGCAGCACCCGCCAATCAGGAGCGGCGCTCCTGGTGCCCCCTGCCCCGCCCTTCTCTGGAACACAAGACATCCCTTGGTGACGGTGGCGACACCGGCCAATCGGAGGCGCCGTGGCCCTCCCGCCTCCGCCCCCTTAAAGGGACCGCCGCACTTTTATGGCAGGCTCCTCTCCCCACACCCTCGCTGCGGAGCTGCCGCATCCCGGGACACCGGGACGCTCCCGCAGGGATGGCTGAGGGATCACGGAACCACCCGGGGGTTGGGGCGAGCCCAGCCCAGCGCCAGTCCCTGCAAAACACCCCAGGCCACCCTGCTTCACTGCGCTGAAAAGGGGTGGTCATGTATTTATATATGTGATTCCCGAGAGTAAAGTTTAGACACGCGACTCCGGACACGTATGTGTAACGTGTATACGTGCAGCTTCCGGCACATTAACACTTAGTGTTAACTCCAATTCTCAAATGTAATCTCCAGAAAATAACACATAAATTCATAACTGCAAACAAGGATGGCCCCTAAGTTAAGCTTAGAAAGATCTGCTTTAATTAATGCCTTTGTGCAACCCAAGACTCGCTGCAGCTCACGTTGCGCCCGGTGCCGGACCCTGCAGCCCGTGCAGAGCAGTGTGCGGACACTTGGAGTTGGATCCAGCCCACGAGCAGTGCGGCGGCCTCAGCCCCTGCCCTCTACCTTTGCCCCGGCGCTTCCGCCGCGTTCTGTCCCAAAGCGGCGAGATCTCCAGCACCATGCTCAGTATCAGGGTATTTCTGCAAAAAATCTGGATTCTTTTTCACGTTACTGCGTGCGTTGTCGTTGGTAAAACGCTGCTCATCCTGTTCCCCGAAGCCATGAAAAGATACATCCTAAAGCAGGGCGAAAAAAGCAGGATGAACCAGAACCCAAAGTTCAGCTACGAGAACTGGGGTCCGACTTTTTTCAGCTTCAAATATTTACTCTTCGTGCTGAAAGTGAAGTGGAAAAGGTTGGAGGATGAAGCCTACGAGGGACATCCCGCTCCCAACACGCCCGTGGTGACTTCCAATGGAGAAGTTCGTCAACTCCTCGCTTTCATGCAAGGTCAGTAAATCAGGCCCAGGGATGGGTTTGCTTTTTAAAATGACAAGTGAGGACAACACACGGCAAAGGGGAAGGCACAAGGGGCCTCCATAAAGGTTCAGGGCTGGAGACTCCCTGTCCGACCAGATTAACAGTATTCATTTGATAGAAAAGAAGATAAAGCTCCCTTGTGCCAGCTGCCTGGGTCTCCGTTTTCCAAAATAAGCTCTTTATCTTCCTGGCCGCAACAGGAGCTCAAGCCAGGAAGCTTGTGAACCTGCTGTGAAAACTGGCTCTGCCAGGAAATACCCCTTTCCTGAGAGCCAAAATAATTATGTGTTACGGGGAAAGGAGATGCACAGAATCCATGTGCAGCGTTTCAGGAATGCTGGCTAGCACTCTGTGTACATACTCTAATTCCTCATACCACTTCCTTAGGCCAACCTACAACCCAGAAAGCACCCCATGTATTTCCAGACTCAATGAAGAATRGAAATGAAAACGGCAGCTGCTTTGCACTTTGCCCACTTCTCCCACCAAAATCTCTGTAGAAAGCAGAATTAATCATTAAACTGGAGTCTCCCACCCCCATGCGAGGGAGTGAAGCTTCCTCTAGCTCCGTTTTTTTCCGATTAAAAATAGTTGATACATTGACACACGTGGGCATTTATTGTGTTAATCTGCAAGCTACTGACTAGGTATTTTTGCCAGTGGCTCGTGTAACATTAGCTTAACAAATAATATTTAACAGGAGTTCTGTTTGGGAAGGAAATGGCAAAAGTATACTGAAAACATGAAAGCCTGCTCTGCATGACTGAAAGGGCTTGCAGCTTCCACTCAGCACAGCCAGAACAGCAGTGAGACCTGACCCTTCTGAAAAGCTAGATATGTCCAAGAGATATGTCCAAGTTAAGCAGAATTAAGAACCTGCCCTTAGTTGCCCAGCTCTTCCCAACACTGTCCTTTGAAAACACAGATTTTTAGWTCCTTCGTCTTAAGGGTCTCAGGGAGGCTGCGTTTGCTGCATGCTGCATATCCACACTAGAACAGTTCCCTATCCCTAAATGTTGCTAACGTCAGAATTGGATCTTGCAATAAGGATGTGAGAAGACACATGTTTGTACAGAGACTTCAGCTTCTAATTGTATTTACACAGGGAAGGGTCCTCCTTTGTTAAACTCACTGCAGGATCCTGCACCAGCCAGAAACAAGCTAGGAAAAAGAAAGCATCCTTACACTCATTTTGCACAAAAACCTGCTGATACAGGTGTTTTGCTATCTTACTAATTAGAATATCCCAATTTGCTTAAGAAAAAAGTTAAGTGTTAACAAGCAGAGGCTCAGTTCTGTTTTAATATAGTCCTTCCCATCACTGACTTAACTACCCATTCAGCATCCCATGTGTTTGCTTGTTTTTTATTTCCAGATAACCGACCATTAATACTGAATTTTGGAAGCTGCACCTGACCTTCATTTATGTTAAAATTTGATGAGTTCAACAAGCTCGTCAAAGATTTCRGCTCTATAGCAGATTTTCTTATAATCTACATTGAAGAAGCTCATGCAGCAGGTACAGTATAATCATCAATTTTAATGCCTATCATAGCCCTGACATCATTCCCTTTACGTAGGGAAACGCAAACGAAAGGAAGTCTTGCTGAAATCAAATGTCATAATGCCAAATTTAGGAAACAGTTTAAGTCCCTCATTTGACAAAGATTTTTACTTACACATCTGACTGCAACAGTGAGGTCCTCCTGCTGGAGACACTTGCGTTTTAAGTGAAGCACAAGCTCACAGTTAAATCTTTAAAAAAAGGCTTCTAGTCCTGGATAGCAACTGCTTTTGGAAGGGAAAAAAAAAGTTTAAGTTTACAATACCAGCAGGCATTAAGTCTTCTAAAAAAATGTACAGTTAGTATAAATAATTTTAACATGTCTCAAAGACCATTTTGAAAACAATAGATGCAACAAGATAGAGTCTTTTATGTACACTGGATTTTAGGAAGTGCATTGGCAGAAACTTTTATACCAAGATTAAAGCAGTTTTGTAAAATGTAACATTAATTGTTCTCAAGCACTCTTAAAATGATGACATGTTCAGTAGTTCAGCAATAGCTAAAAGTTAAGTCATTTCTCAAAAAACTTGTACTAGTTTATTATTAAGAAGAGCTGAACGCAAACATTTATTTCTAGATTTCTAAAAGAGGAGATGGAGCATTTCCCAAATACACTTCAGTTGTCATAGATCTAGGATTTTTTTAAATAGATTTACAGAGTAGGAACAAGTAAAACACACAGTTCTGGTGCTGCAACTGCTATCTGAATGGATATGAGCTAAWAGCACTACTTACCATTTTTAAAATCCACTTCTGTGTGCCAGTAGTTTTAATGAACTTCATCCAGATGTGATGCATCTCCCAAGCCTGCTATTTGTTTAGGCTTGATTTATATGGGGAAATTTCMGTTAAAACATATCAACTATTTCTGAATTCAGGACAAGTGGGAGAAGACAATTTACACAAGTTAGGAAAAAAAGAAATCTTACAGCCCTTTCTTTGAAAAGTTGTATTGGTCCTGTACTCTCAGATAGAGCATTCATTTCATGGCAAGTTTTAGGGATAGGAATACATTGCAGTATTCTTCTAGCATATTTTTCAGATGTGACAATATACACTAGTTTTCCACTCTTAAAAATGCCTGCTCAAAATGCTCCTTGTTAAATCGCTTTCATTTATTTTAGATGGATGGGCTTTTAAAAACAATGTTGTTATTAAAAATCACAGAAGCCTTGATGATCGAAGAGCAGCTGCACAATTTCTCCAGGAAAAGAATCCTTTATGTCCAGTAGTTTTAGACACTATGGAAAACCTGAGCAGTTCAAAATACGCTGCACTACCAGAAAGATTGTATCTACTTCAAGGAGGGAAGGTCATCTATAAGGTAAAACAACAATGAGCATAATATGTTCAGATTTTTAACTTTTAAAATAAATAATGCCTTACATTTTATTTGACAGTCAGTGTTCATTCTGTTTCATAGCTTATAATTTCCCAAATCACTGTAAATTTGCAGAGAAAAGCATTAGCAACCCAACCAGCCTGGGCCTTTTTAATGTATATATTTGATGTACACCTCAGTCCTGCTCAAATATTTGATATTATATATATTTATTTTTAGAAGAGGAAAAAAAAAAGGGTATGTCTAAATTGCGGGGTCCAGGAAGACGTCCCAGCTCCAGGATGACGCTGTTGGCCCGGTCCCAGTTACAGCAGGGTGTGCCCTGTGCACACACCATCTCCCACGCAACGGCTGCGCGCGAGGGCAGCGAGGGTGCTGGTGCTCTACAGGCCTTCCACGCATTTCAATGTTACTTTATTCCCTTTGCAGGGAGGCGTAGGCCCTTGGAATTATCACCCCCAGGAAATACGGGCCATCCTGGAAAAAATGAAGTAAAAGAAGAAAACAGGAGGACTTCAGAGTAAAGACTATCTGGATGAAGCAGCTCAATGAATAAGCTTTTGTATACTAACTGTTAAAAGGAAAAATAGAAAAAAMCAAAATGAGTAATGTGTGTGAGTGAAGTAAGAACATCTGTAGTCTGATTCAACATATATTTGCCTGGAGACTTTCCAGTCTCATTATTACAACCCCAGCTATTGCATTATAGTATTTTAATATGTTTCTATCCCATGTAGTTAATGAATATTACTTGGGTCCATTGAGCTATCAATATCAGATACCATCTAGATTTTCAAGGAGTACTGTGTAGCAAATAATTCTGGGTGGTGACATTTGTGAAAGTGCACTTGTGTGCAGAACAAGCAATTTCACATTATTATGATTCTCTCTATACATACARTTTTCCAAAATGTTCATTTTTAAAGGCTTCAGAAGGCTTCTGAATAGGACAACTTCTGTTAATGTTTGTTTCTATTAATATTTATTATGATAGTCATAGCGTAAAGCACAGGCGGCTGCGACTTGATTTTAGGAAATATTTATAGAAACAAGCGACTGTTTTGCAATTATTAAAAAAACTACTAAAACTATCATATGATTTGAGCTTTTTTTTTCTTTATTATTTATAAGCACTAGCAGAAGTTGATACTGATCCTATTAGTTCCTATTACTTTTTATTTTTAACTGATCAGAAGTGTTATGGGGCAAGCAGTAAGCAGTGTTGACACTCCCAGGTATAAAACTGGGCAGCTGGTACTACAATTAGCAAGAATACCACATTATATACATTAAACTGGTAGGGAGCACATACTGCATGTTCCAAAAACATGGTAAGACATTTTAATAATAAATATTCTCTGCGCTACAGATAAAAAAATATAAATTCATTACAAATTATACCAAAGTTCAAATTTAACCTGGGCTTAACTGTCTTCTGCCGYGCCCTCTGCCATCACCCTGTGCACTGACACAAAATGATCGAAAGCAGATTTGATGATGAAACGCAAATAAGTGGCTTGGAGATCTGGAAGCTGTAAAAGAGGAAGAAAATGGAAAAAGAAATAGCATTCTCTTTACTGCATTGTAGTACCATAACTACCAAACACCTTTTGCAGAAATTTTTTAGACAGAATTATCTAAATATTTCTGTGTCTGTTTCCAAATTACATATAGCAAATCAAAATCTAAACATATCAAGGCAGAATCTTAGATTCAAAATAGCTTTCCCTCCCCACCAAAATACTGCAGCCTCGAAGACAACAACTGAGAGAGGAAAGGAATGTCACATGTCTGGAAAGAGCTCTAAGCTACTTAAACCTGCACTAATTCATATGGTGATCTATGGATTCCTATATCTAACATCAACTTAGCAATAATCACAAAAAACATTTTATTTTTTTCATGCGTTCTTCTCATTTAGTCTAGACAACCCATTCCATGAAACACTACTACTATGTATTGGAAATACTTACTGGAAATTCTTCTGTTTGAAGCTCTCCTTCTGTGTATTGCAAATCTAAAAAATATATTTTTCAGAAAATAATGAATAACAGTGTTCACTGCTGTAAAATATTTTCACTGGACTTCAGAGTTCATGGGAGTTTAAGGGCCATGAACTTACACTGCATACAGACATTTTTCTTTACAAGGTGATTAAAGAGGACAAATACTTTTTACAGTATCCCCATGTAAAAATATAAATCATTCATTACACAGCTCCATAAAATGTCATCCAAGGGGCATAAAAAAAAAAAAAAAAAAMAAAAGGAGCAGGAAGTAACATTGTAATGTACAAGTCTGATTTTAATTTTTGGATCACAAAATCAAGTGTATAAATAATACTTTTAGCCCTAATACAGCACTTGACATCTCCAAAGGACTAGATGATCAGACCTCTTAGACTTAGAAGTGTTTGTTCAATTACTATCTAATAAAACAATCATCAAACCCCACTTGATAACAGAATAATCACAAAATGACTCCCTCACAAAACACAAAGGATATCAATAATGACCAAAAGTAGTTTTTGTATGGCTCAACAGAATCTAACTACAATTTCCAGACATGATTTTTTCCATAGTGTACATAGACACATATATAGTCAAARGCATACAATTAAGTCAAAGCTTACAATTAAATTTTAACCTTAAATAAAGTGTTATTTTTTTCTCGATTTATCATTTGCCATCTAAAAATGCAATGCGCAGGTTGGGAAAAACACGCTGTATAGCACCAAGCTAAATGATGTGAAGCCTGGCTATTTTTCAGTACATTCATATTTTAACAATTTGACTGATCTTTCTTCTCAGTTATTTTACCTAACAGTAGCTTTGTTACTCTAAAATCTAGCAATAACAAAGTGAATGAGCAAAGATCCACAGAATTCCCACAGAATCACAGCAGCTTCAGACTCAGAATCTTACCTTTCTCAACGCAGTGTTCAAAATCGACCGGTTCTTTAGATACGCTTCTTTCAATCCTTAAAGTCCGCACTAAAACACACGTACGTTTCCAATATCAATACAGATTTTGATTCTTCATCAACAACAATCTTTASTGCATAAGTTTTCACCCTCAAGGCATTTCACGAGCATTAACTGATTTATTCTCCCACTGTCTTAGGGGTCAGGACAAATAAAAATATTATCTGCATTTTCCAGGTTGGGTAAATAAGAGCTTTTGTTTCTTTTGCTCAGGACCAGCTAGTGGCCAAACTCCTGCCTCCCTGCTCTGTCCCCCATCACTCCTCTTTGTCCCTTTCATCAATAATCCCAACACGAAGCTATTAAGAGAATACGGCGGACAAGCAGGGACAGGGTCGATCTGCCCTCCTCTTCCTCGCGTATTTATGGCGAATTTGGGACTCGGAGCGGGTGCCGTTTGGTGGAGCCGGGTCTCGACCCGCGGTTCCGGCCCACACGCGCAGCCGTGACCCGGAACACGAGCCGTGGGGCGGCCGCAGCGCTAACCCGCCGGCTCTCACCCGGGTAGCACTGCACCGTGACCTTGCTGAGCACCACGCGCGCGGGCAGCGCCACGATCAGCTCCTGGGGGAACATCCCCGTCGTCACCCAGAAGGTTTCCAGCTTCCTGCGGAGGAAACACACCCCAAAGCGCCATTTTTAAGCTTGCTTTCCCTCGAGGGGGGTATTTACCCCCAAAAGGTTAAATCGCCGGATAAATCACCCGTCGGCCACGTTCTCGGGGGGGTGCTGCTCGTCGCTGGACGTGGCCAGCACCACGGCGGCGCCGGCCGCGCCGAGGCACCAGTCCGCGGCCTTCATGGCTGCGCGAGGAGGAGGAGCCGGCGGCCGCGTTGCCAGGCAACCGGCGCGGCCGCGAGCAACGCGCAC